GCTCCAATAATCCCGACAAATATTCTGGCCTGATCTTAGTAGTGGCTTCCAGTTTAGCGTCACCTAACATTTAAATTTGCTTAAGGCTTTATTTTACCTTAGGCTTACACCGCGGAACCCTTTTTTACGTATGTTGCTTTTTTTTCCTAAATCACGCAGAACGTTTCATAAATAATGGGAATAATAATCATCTAAATCATATTTGGCTCCTTTTTTTTCAGAATAATTTAAATTTCACGTTTAAGAACGATTTTCACGGTATAACTTTTTTTAAAACAACCTCAATTGAAATCTTAATCATATTCACACGAATACAGATACGCAACACCAGGATGCAGACAAACTTAATGATATGCTCATGCTGGCTAATGAGAAAATTGCCGCATTGCACTCGGAACTAAATGACTTGGTCGAGCGCGAGCGCCAGCGAAGAATAGCTTTTCTTGAAGCCCAACAGTTGGTTATCAAGGAATTTGTTGAAAATGCGATCACTCAAACCAAAGAGCATGAAAAGATTCAACGTGAACTGGACCGCAGAAACTGGGTGAGGTTAATGAGAAATATACTTTTTTTAAACATTTTATACCGTAAAATTCTTATTTATTATAGCAGTAATAATCCTCTGTTTATGTTGCAAATTATTCTATAAAAGATAAAGCCTTTATATATAAATGCTGCTAGTCTGGCACTGAGCTACAATTTGCTTTTGGCAAGTAACGTTATACTTCCCTCGATTAACTTTCTGCTGAATAGTTGCCTTATTTCTTTCCTATATCCTCGCATTTCCTATATTTTTACGCGTTTACACTAATCCTTCACTCCATTTTCATATGTCAAAGTCTTTTTACTCCAATTCGCATCTCTATTTCGTCTTATATACTCGAAGCCTGCATCCCTTTAAGAAGGTTTTATTGAAGCATAATTGACTTTTCTGCCAAGATTTCTGGCCTGAATTGGCAACTACTATTGGCAATCCATATCATTCAAATTTTAGCAAGTTATTTATTTTGACCTTACAATCCATGTTTTACATAACCTTCTCATTACTTTCAATTGGTCTCGGCAATGTTATCTGCCATATACGTGGAGCTACACGACAAGTCCCGAACTAATGCTACTACATTTAAAACATTCTCATTAAAGGTGGCTTGAAAATTATAATTATTTTGTCTAAGGCACTTTTGTGCTTCCTTGTATTCAGTACCGCTGTACCACTTGGGTGGATTTGTTGTCGATCTATATTTTATGCGAAGAAAAGTTGGGTTCCGAGGAATCTTGTTACATTATTGTTGAGCTTACTTCCATTTCGAGTGAAAGTGTTTGGTAGAGATATTCGAAGGTCAATTCCGCCAGAAGACGACGACGGATTCCTCTTGATCAGTTATCGATTGGCTTTACTGTAACATTCATTGTGACGCTGTTTCCGAGGTAATCTTCTTCGATTCAGGTCAAAAGGTGCTAGGCCTTCGTCCGTCATATGTCGAACATCATCAGAGCAAGATTTCATCGTCACAACTAAATTCGTGTTAATGAGTTAAGTAAGCTCACCGGCAGATCCCTAAAGAGCTGTATATATACCAGCAGTGATGGCTCAAAGTAATTAAAACAGCAAATGTAACGTCTGCTCTCGGCCATCAAGGTTTAATGACCACTATCTCGCCCTTTCTACATATGTGTTATAACCATCACTCCGATTGCCTCGGGTGGGACACACGTCTGGTTATGCTGATGAGACTTTTTTGTTTTTTTTTCTTAATGCGAGAAACAAAGAGTGAACTAAAAGTACATAGAAGTTATTATGATTAGATATAAAGGAAAACTGGGTTTCGAAGAATTCCTTAAGTATGATTAAAACCAAGATAAGAAAAGACAAGTTAAGTCACTTCATTTTTGCAGGTGGCTCAACACGCTCTCTATTCTTAAGTCCATTAATTAAGCACAAATAATTTTTTATTATCTTTTTGATGGTATTCAATGTACTTCCTATTCGGTTTATTTCGATGGCTTCTATAATTGTACGTTTATCCGCAGACATGCTATAATTAGCAAACCGAGAGGTTTGAGACCATTGAATCTGCGTCCCGTTTCTGCCATGTGCTCAGCCAGCTCCGATTTCTGAACCCAAAAGCCTTTGCAGGTGCTTTTGTGTTCAGCCACACTGTCGAATGGGACGACAAGTCTCTCCAACATAAAAGCGACCACATAAACATCTTATGTTGTATCAACCCGAGCTGGATATTGGGTCAACGTTCTCTCTAAAAGTGGGCATAACTGAAGAAAGTGTCGTAGTTTCATTGAAAACAGTTTTTATGCCCCATTTCCTTATTTGTTTACTTATAATTTTAGAGAGAATGCACCTAGGTAAAGACAAAACATGAGTTAAAGCCTCCTTATCTCTCCTTAGCTATTCCCTATTCAGAAAGCCATTCTTTGTTAATCTAATGTTATTTTTAATCAAGCTTGGGGGATAATTATTCTCAATAAATATTATTTTAAGCCGATCCAGTTATTTGGTCGAGAACAGATTTACTTTTGCTGTCCTAATTACTTTGAACCATCACTGTTGCTTTCGTGCATAAGCGAATACAAACAGGTACATATACATACATAGACCTACACACTCACAGGCTTCGAGGTTGACATATGACCGTAACTAACCAAATCACTTTATACCTCCTCAAAGAGGCCAGATATAAAGTATATATTCAGCTTTTTAGGGATTTGCCTGTGAGTTTTATTGACTCGTTAGCTTTAATTTGGTTATGAGGATGATACCTTGCTCTGTTGATGTTCGTCATATCACGGACGAAAGCTAAGCATCTTTTCATCTGAATCGAAGAAGATTACCTCGGAAACAGCGTCACAATGAATGTTACAGTAAAGCCAACCGATAACTGGTCAAGAGAAATCCGTTGTTGTCTTCTAGTGAAATTGAACTTCGAATCTCTTCACCAAACACTTTCACTCAAAATGGAAGTAAGCTTAACAATTATGAAATGAGAGATTCCTCGAAAGCCAACCTTCCTTCGCATAGAAAACAAGTAATTTAGCCGATTGCTATGGAAAATACAACTTTTCTCCATCGACAATTCTACCACAGAATGTGATATGAAAAAATCCCTGGCCTTTCTTAAATTTACATTGCCTTGTGACCTAAAGGCAGTCGTGGCAATACGGTGTAGCGGTTAACATGTTGAGGAAATACAGTGCATTGCCATAGTCAGAGTTCCACTGTAAGTGATGATAAGGTCGATATTTTAGTCCACTCTGGATAAAAACACTTCGTTCTCCCTCCTTTTACAAGCCTATGCTATTTTATTTTGCCATTTTACCTGTTTTTTATTATTTATGCTTGGATTTAGGAAATAGAGTCTCACGAGGCGATGCAACGTCATGTACGTCAATTGACCGCCCAACATTCTGAACATCTTTTGCAAATGAGCCAATTTCTTCAAGAAAAATTTAGCCGCCAGAGTGAATTACAAGTTCGCGAGGCTGTTGCTCGAGAAACACGAGCTTTTGAGGCAGCTCTCCTTGGATGGAAGCTTCGCATGGAAGCTATTGAGAAGGTAGTAGATGGTGAGTCTTTGTAGTAATACTTTTGCTCCCAAGTCCTTTTTTAATTTTTCTTTACTCAACGAATATCTACTGTCTCTTAGACTTAAGTTCTATCGTCATTTTTTCTTACCTGGTTTTTGATAATTTAATTGCTCTAATAGTTTAACAAACATTTACTTAAAAAATAGGGGTGGAAGGGATTCATACATTGTTCTCACCGGAAGCCGATACAGGACTACTTTGAAGTTTTGACCGCTGGAATGTGATGCTTACTTTATTGCACCCCCGATGAACCCATGTTGAGCTTGTCTACTTCATCGAATACCCCACTACATAGATATGATTTGAGAAACTTCCAGCCTTCCTCGAAATTTACGTCTGCTATGTGACTCAGGAGGACTCATGACAGTGTGGTGTAGGGGTTAACGTGTCAAGATTATGCACTTCTCTATCCAGCTTCAAATCCAATTTTGGTTGCTAATGGAGCCTAGACGAGGTCTACTCGGCCTATGAAGTTATTTTGAGAAGCAAGAGGATGTAAAATTTCATATAAACATGCGGCTCATATAATTATTCGAAAATTCAATTGAGAGTCCTTCATCACTTTTTACGACCTAGTGTAAATACAGCCCTCACTTTAATCAATTAATCAGATTAAAATAACTTCCATTGTTTTGCACCACTTTTGGTTAATGAAGTGAACACTAAAGGCCTAATGGCGTCTTCACACACCAGGACAATAAAGAAATATTTTAATAATAAACAGTAATGCAACTTGTCTCTTTGACGAGTTGTAGTGTTATGCTAAGAATGGCAAGGCTCATTGACGATACCGGCGAAACCTCTGGGAATGTACCACTCTGGACTAGGTGCCTGGGTCTTCCCACCAATAGGACCAAGTTGCGAAAACAAGGTCAAACAACTTCTATAATAATACATCTTTACATACCGATATGCTAAAAGCGCCTCTTCGTGACTACTATGTCTGCCTTACAAGTAAAATCATATTTTTCTCATGGCCGGGTAAAATATACTCTGATTTTGGTTGAGAGCATAAGAATCCTATGCTCTGATTGTAAAACAAAAAATGACGAACTGGATCATTTTAGTGGGTTTGAAAATATTTTGAATCGACATATGACTATCAATCTCAGGTAAGCATTCTGTTAAAGCAAATGTGGGCTTTTCGCTTTTATAGAAGTGGGTTGGCCTCGTCGCAACTTGGTCTTGTTGCAACCATATCGGGAGCCACACCATCTTGGTCTTCATATTCCCGCTTTCATGTCTTTTGATCCTTTTAAAACTGCACGGTAAACGTACAGTAGTTAAGACAAGAGTGTGGCCCTAAAGTTGGCAGTTAACAATTTTCAGTTGTAAACTTATCATTGTTTTCTTCGTGCTTTTAATCAATCTGCCTTGAGATATCTAGTTAAGTATGAAAATACATACTGCAGGTAAACCGTGTTACAATTTTATCTAAGACTGTCTAGGCCAAAGCAAAACAAGTTTTGGGGAGTTCCGCAAAAAACATCGTAACTAGTGCGATATTTAAACATCAAGCTACATCTTGTCAAAGATTCCAGCCATTTTCTTCGCTGTCCAGCTCTATAATTCAACCCATGCGACCTAAGAATTCCATGAACGTCTATCTCTGGTCTCCTGCCCTATCTGAATGTATTTCCATTGTAATTTTATCCAATCTACTAGCCTTAATGACAAATTTTTCCATCAATTTTGACAATCTATCTCCTTATTCCCTTGTGCTTAGGCTCATAAAAGTTTTAGTTGCTTTCCCAAGCTGACCACTCGTCAAAGACGTTTTCTCTTAATTTACTAATGTTCCTCATCCGCTTTATATTTACGATTCCTTTTCCTTTGCTTAACGATGGGTCCTTGATCTTGAAATCTTGCCGCATCCCTATTTTCTTCGAGCTGGCTTAATCAATAGACAAAGTTATCGCTAATCCTGCCTTGCTCAAATCTCTTAGTCATTACATTTATTTTGGCAAGGATATAGATGTGCTTCCCAATTTTCATTGTATTTTCCCCATGTGTGTTCCACTATTTCTGATCTTTCTGTATGCATTTTCTGGCAGAGCCTTTGATGTTTCTTAATTCGTATGCTGATTTTTATTTCTCTCAATGCACATTTGCTTACAGGTATGTTATGATATAAACTCCCGAGCAATCCAATTCGACTACCTTATGCTGCTTAGATTAACTTGTGAAGTGTCTTTATTTTTCGTAGTCTCCTGAATTGTCTACTTTCTCAATATTGGTCGTGGTTTTTGAGTTAGTTTGCATGAAAGTTGTCATATCCATTTTTGTGCGTCTTTCTCTATTCTTATTTTCCTTTCATAATCCCCGACCTGCTAATGGCTTTCTACGGCTTGTATTTTTCTTTGTTTATATTCTCTTGGGTATGCGTTGCTGAGTAACGTCCGAAAAATTTATCTAATTCTTCATCCCAGAATTCCATGTCCGTTACTCGTAGGCTTCTGATGATAATGCTCCTCATAATGCTCCTAATAATGATCCTCATTGGGATAGGACAGCAATTTAATTAGTATTCCGGCACGCGCATTCTTTCTAATTAATCTTCTCTTGAGTGTTCCATTTGAGCGAATACCTTCAAGATTCAGTAGAGTTAGACGCTCCTCCTCTACCTTCATTGCGAATTTGATCCTTTTTTCAATCTGATTTATAAATGTGATAATTAGCATATTTTTTGCATATTACTAAGCATACTCGGATGAGGTTAAAGAACAGCAAGATCAACAAATAGGATACAACTATATCAGGAAAATATTTTGAACTTTAGGGAAATAAATTGCAAGGAGGCCACAGGAGCAATCGGAAGCCATGAAGAGACGTCCGGAGGGCGCCAAATCAAGACGTTAATTAACCATAGCATTTGGGGTTTGGCGCACAAGAGACTAGGCCATAGGAATCATCAATTCGGCATTATGGATAGAATCACGAGAGATGTCGCTGAGACCAGAGATAATTGGTTAGCAATAAACGGATTTGATAATAACCGTGTTCCTGGAAGTAGAGGCTTGACCACGAGATTTGCTCTGTGCACTTGCCGAAGAGTACTAAGAAAATATGCAGCGTCAGATTGGTTTTCTATCCAGCTTGAGAATCCAGGTTTTGAGTTCCTACGTAGGGAGGCTAGAGTATACATTCATCAAAGGTTTGAGTCAGGGTGTCGAACATAACGCCTTGAGTAGCGCGGATATGTTGGCAGTGATCACCTAAGTTAGTGGAGTCGCTAAAACAGGGAGCTTAAAGATGAATCATACGGGGAAAGAGGAAGAATTTTAAGGACCCGGATGAAGAAGATTGAGGAATAAAATGGCAAACCTGGATCAACACTCCTAAAACAGTGGGAAGAGGGTGGGGGAACCAGCGAAGTGTGAATAGGTCTTATGTAATCTGCTCAAAATGACACACATGAATTATGCTTAAATACGAAGAGTAACTGGTTTCGATGATCCTACTAAGATAACCTTATTGGGAAGGCCTTCATTTCATATGAAAATGTATTAAGAAGAGATTCGTATGTTGATCCCACCAAAAGACGATAGTAGAATCCAACTATACTGCACCCGTTAGGTTTTAATACGACGTTCAGATTGACGCAAACCACGACATTCTCTCTCCGGGTGAAAACGGGCTGAGATTTTGTCCATCATTTGATGGACATTATCAGAGCTGGAACTCATTATTGCAAATGTCTCATGTTAATACTAGGTCAAGAAGACTATCCGGCTCTATCTTACCTCTTATATAGACCAAATTAAGCAAAATCAAATTCAAAAACCTAGATAAATATATAATGGCTTGGCTAATTATCTTTCGTATTGGTTCTGCTACGTGTCTGTGTTCTTATGTTTATAATGTCTATACGCAATAGCGGTCCTTAAAAGGCTACTGTCAAGCTCTGGGAATCAAGGCTTAATGACCCAAGAATAAGACATAGTCCCGACAAAGACTGTGTAAGTCAGTGAGAAAGTATGGTTGAGATAATGAAATATAAGCTTGTAAGTGCTTAAGTCAAGTTACGAAACCACATGCCATAGCCTCTCAATGTAGAGTCATTAACGTTTAACCACCTAAGGACAGGCCTGACCGCGGCTGCGTAATCTGGTACGTCTGGTTTCGTTGATGAGCTCAATGACAAGTATGGGTGAAGTTAGATCCATCATTGAGCAGACAAGCTGAGTCGCCTTTTTTTTGGATGGCGGTTCAATAGTCTCCCTTTCCTTCAATCTATCAATCAAGCATAAGTAATTCTTCGAAGATATCAAGATCAAGATGGTGTGGCCTTTTGTGTGGTCGAAGTCTCCTTTCGTTGTATAGAGGTTGTTTTTCCTTGTTTTCGAAGCTTGTTCATATTGATAGTAAGACTTAAAGGAACGCACCTAGTCCTGAGTCTATTTTATGCATGATAATTTCCAAAGTCAGACCATGGACGTGGTACATTCCCAAACGTTTCGCCGGCATCGTAGTCGGCATAATCAGTGAGTCTTACCATTCTTAGCATCTTATTACAACTCAAAGAGACAAGTGAAGCCGACCCTTTGACAATATGTGTCGCTAAGAGTTGTGGTATCTCGTCCTCTCTCCTGGGCTATTCACCTCTCCTATTTCCTCGTATCACGTCTTCAATATGACAATTTTTCTTTGCTTATTTAAATATAGTGTTGTGTACCCTTTTGAGCGGCTTTCATGAGAACCTTCAACACTCCACACTGGTGTTATCAGCCCCCTTCATCCTTGTCCTGGGAATTTTGATAAGGTTATATTTCAGGAACTCTTTAGTCAAATGGTTGCCATCCGCTAGCCTCGTACTCCTAATAATCATTGAATTCAAAATACCAATCTTAGCTTTTACTATGGTTGCAGCCAAAAATAAAAAAAGAGCCTAATGTTCCTATCACGTTGGTTAGGGTAAAGTATGAAACTATTTCAACTTTCCTTACCCTGAGGACATATCCCATAATAGTCATCCATTTATCTAACCAAAAAATTGGTGATTAGTATTGTCTATTCTTTGAAGTGCTCCACATGTCTTGCCCCATAATTGTTCCCTTTGATGGGAGCTAGGCAAGGGTTTGTGTTTATTCGTATAACTCAGCATTAAGGGTAAAATAGGTGCTACTCATGGATAAGTTAAGAAGTATATGTATGAACGCTACGCCCAACCTTGTTCCTTGTATGATCTCTGGATGCCTCTCCAGAGTTTATATTAGAGCCAGAATAGTTCGTTGAACAGGAATGTTTATGTACATGGACATAGCTTCTTTTGCTTAGAAGTTGTTTGACCTTGTTTTCACAACTTAGTCATATTGGTTGGAAGACCTAGAGGAACACACCTAGTCCGGAGTATATAGTATGCATGATAATTTCCAGAGTCAGATCGTGGACGTGGTATATTCACATACGTTTAGCCGGTATCGTAGTCGGCATCTTCAGTGAGTATTGTTAGTCCTAGCACTATACAATATATCGTCTACGATCCGAATTTGAAAATTAGCATAAATTTAATGAACTTTGGATAAGGTGCGTTCCTCTATATCTCTCTGATAAATAGTATCGAGTTGCGAAAACGAAGTCAAACTACTTATGTACATTGAATAAAGGCCGCGACCACATTAAAGGTCACACTCTCGGTCATCACACGTTGGTTTCTAAACTTCACGAAATCGTCCGGTTATTCTCTTCAATGCAACTAAAGCAAGAAGTAGTCATCCACTTACCGCCTAAGCACTATTAGTTGTAGCAATTACGTCTTGAAATTCTTGTCTGATTTCTTCATGTATACGTTTGCTTAAAGATCTGGGAGCGGTGATCCCATATGAAGTTCAAATGTTGATTCATAGATGTTGCTGTTGATTGTGAGGTAGGTAGTGCTTACTGTCAAGTTCGAGCCTTCTGATCCCCTCCGTATCTAGGATATCGACCCTACCTAAATATAGTGAATGTATTTCATATATATGACCTTCCGGCAGTTTCGAACATCTACTTAAAGAAAGGAAAAATTAGTAATATAGTCTATTAGATCATATTAAGACCAATATGATGTGGCCCTTTGTGGCATCGCAGTCTCCTTTCGTTGTATAAAAGTTGTTTGACCTTGTTTTCACAACTTTGTCATATTGATATAAAAACTTAGAGGAGCACACCTAGTCCGGAGTCTATTGTATGCATGATCATTTCCAGAGTAGGACCGTGGATGCGGTACATTCCCAGATGTTTCGCTGATATCGTAATCAGCATGTTCAGTGAGTCTCGCCATTCTCAGCACCACACAACACTCGTCATAGAGACAAGTGAAGCCGATCCATTGACCAAACGTGTACTAAACAGTTGTGGTATCTCTCCTTTTGCCCTGGCCTATGCACCTTTCCTATATCCCCTATAGAATTTATAGAAAAAACTAGAGGCTATAAACGGCCGATTTTAGCTTTTAGCCTCTATCTATCTATAATAGCAAGTCTATGACTTGTTATGCCCTAGTCTCTTGTGTGCCAACCCACAAACGTTGTGGTTCAACATTGAACCTAATCAAAGCAAGCAGTACTACAACATTTGGGGGTTGGCACACAAGAGACTAGGGCATGGGAAGTAAGTGAAATTCAATGAAAACGTAAGGCCTTTTTATATAATTGTCGAACAATGTTACTACCAGTCCTTCATCACCTCAACTGAATATCGTGAATACATCTTCATTAATCTTTTTTTGTATTTCTACTTCCCTTTGAGATCTTGTTTCAACAAAAACTAAATGAAACTCATTCTAGCTTTGCTTGATATCTTTAGGCCGCGCCGACATCGACCGCATTTCCAAGGAATCTCAGTCTCTCTGGCTAGCCTGCGAAACTCTTCACCTTGCGATGAACACTCCTTTCACCCTAAGTTGTGATGGTTTGCACAGGACTGGCTCGTTGGCGCCACTAGTTGAGGCAATTCGAGAAATTTTGGCAGAATCTGGGGGAAGGCACGCTTTTGTCTCCGCTCTGCTTGATAGTTTGCCTAAGGAGGTTCTAAAGACTGAGAACAATTGCTCTGGAGTCCTGGGTACACTTACAGAGAGGTCCTTGAAGCAGCGGTTTGACAAAGTAAGCTCGTTGACTATCTGTTTCACATTTTTCTATTAAAAATACTTTTCTTTTAGTCATATCTTATTACTAGTAGTTTTCTATTTTTATCCTTTTCTTCCTTTCTCATGCTAAGCTGGATCTAAGAAGACAGATTTAAATCTTAATTTTTTGTTTAATAATTGTTTCGTTTAATGCATTTCTTTTCTAATTGTATACATAACTCATTTATTTTCAACATGAATTTTTCTAGATGTGTTGCTTAAAACTTTTCTATCGAGTCACTTAAAAATATGCCATTCGTTGGTATAGATGTGATTGTTAGATAAATTGTCCTTTTTCAAGTTGGATTTGAAATCATTATTTAGGCTTTATCGACAACTTAGGCATGATGAATTTAGTATGCTAGCCAGCTTTACGTTTGCTTAATGTATTAATAATATATAAGTAAGATTAAAAACATAATTAGACAACGAAATTCGCATTCACAGTTAGAATATATTAATTGTGCTAAGCATCCTCAAGAACAAAGCAGCTAATAGAAATAAGAAGTGTTTTACTTCCGTTTAAGTGTTTCTGTTTGATCGTCATTTATTTTAAAACATTCTTAGCGATATATAGTAATCATACCAAAGCATTTTTAAATATACTTATCTAAGTTACCAGTAGTTAACTCTGATAAGTTATCCATCTAACCATAGA